CTCTTCATTCCCATCTTCTGTGTTCAATGGTGATGGTGGGGAAAACAAGCTAAAAAAAAAAAAGTGGAGACATTTACAGTGGAATGGTGTTTGAGTTTAGAAAAAACTCATGCACTGAAGACATGGGGACTGGAGGAATTTTGCTATGGAAGCACACTTAGAATAGGAGCTGAGAAAACTGAGTAGGAACTGGCCAGATTTTAAAATCAATGGACTGCAGGAGCAGGGTTTGAATGCATTACTTAAAAAGTGATTTGAAAATTAAGGAGATTTTATCTAAAGTGATGAAGAGAGGAGAAGAGTTGTTTTGAATTATTCAATTGATTTTTAACTGAAAATACTAATAACAATTGAGCAGAAGCATGGACTGGGAGAGGATGTGGTGAATAGGAATAGAAAGGCATTTTGTAGATGATTTTATAAAACGTTTAGTTCAGGGTGCATGTGCTTTGTAGCACAGAGCTGGGGGCATGTGGATTAACATATTTTTGATGGCACCTTTGGAGGTTTCTAAAGCTTTAAAAATTGTGTTCTTGCAGCTCTGTGGCAGAGGAAGACCTCGACCCTTTCCTAAGGAATACAAAATTCCAGTATGAAGCTTTCCGAAGTAGTAGTAAGCACATCTTTAAATGTTAAGGGACCCTGAGGGGCACAGAATGCTGCTTCTTTTCCTAGATAAACACAGATTATTTATAGTTTTATGTTTATGCACACAAATATAAAGTGTGCATACATGTATCTGTAATTTAAAAATATGATCTTTTTTTATCTGTTAAATAAAAGATAGTGGCGAACATTTCTTATAAAACCAGTTGAAGATGCAGATGTGTGTTTATAGCTTTTTTTAACATCCCTTGGCAAAGTAATTAGAAGCATATTAATGCTTAATTTTTTTGTAATGAAGTGCAAGAGGTAAATTTGCCTGCCTGTACTAAAAAAATCCACTAACATTTTAAAGGAAAACAATTTGCTAAGCTTTTATCTGTAAGTTTTGGTGATGGTACATGACAACCACTAAGGTGGAGGATTGATGACTGTGTGAGTAGTTTGGTTTTTTGGGGAGGAGAGGGTTGATTTGGGTTTTGTTTTATTTTTACAAGTCTTCATACAAGCCCAGCTTACAGCTTATTAAACTCCTTTCTAGTTCTAATTAGGCAATATCTCAGTGATATTGACTATTTATAAGCTACTGATTACTCTTTGAACTGATAAAGTGCCTTTTCCAGCATTCCTGAGGTTTAAAGGGTCACAAAGCACGATGAGAGCTTAATTTAAAATTTTACTTTTGCATGTTTAACCTGAAATTCAAGTACATTTACAAATTAAAAATACATTATGGGTTTTTTTTTAATAGGGCTTTCATCTGATGCCACAGTGCTGACACCCAACACGGAGAGCAGTTGTGACTTGATGACCAAAACCAAATCAGTGAGTGGCAACGATGACAGCACCTCATTGGATTTAGAGTGGGAGGATGAAGAAGGTATTTATCTTGCATTTCAGGTTTATCCTGAACTCCAGAGTTAAAGATGTTGACAATTTAAGCTGCATTCATTGTACATTTGTCTTTTTCAAAAGGGAAGGTGATTTAAAACTTGTTTCTGATAGAATTTCTGACAAGTTTGTAATGGTTTAAACTATAAATTATTTTTACTGAAAAATTGCCTTATTTTTGATAAATGTGGAGAGATCCCTCCTAAATGAATTCATTTATTAGGATACTCCACTAGATAAATAAATTCATTTCCCTGCATTTTGTGGCACTGATTTGTAGACTCCTGACAAAAGTAATGGTAAAGAAATGCTGCCCTCTCGTGAGCCAGGAGCTGAGGAAGAGCTTGTTCTTCCTTCCAAAATGTGGAGGTTGGTCAGGAGTCTGACTACAATATTTTGGGAAAAACCCTTATTACTTGTACTGTAACATTCACTGGGGACTTGGATCTGCATTCCAAGGAGTATCCCAGCAATCATACAGCAGTATCATCACTGCTGTATTTCTGCATTTCCTCATTGTTGCCAATACCTGCTCTTTTGTTTACTAAACCTGCAAAAGCTCTTAGTTGAAACTTTATCCAAAATGTTGAGACCTTGACTATTGAAAGGCTCGCCAAAAATAAGCAAGAGATTGTTTTTTAGCCAATCTAATAGGTGATTAATGTCCGTAATTACTGACAAAATCAGAATAATCTTAGATGTCTTTGAGCAGTGACCAGAACCGTATTTAGCGTGGAATTAAACAAACTGAAGACCTTTCCGATCTATCCAAATTCCACCCTCGTTTCTCCTAGGAGAAACGTAGAAGTTAGGTGCAAACTCACCAGGACGTGTTTCTCACGCGCGTGTGTTAAACGCCAGGCATGAACAGGATGATCCCGGTGCGGGAGCGCTCCAAGACGGAGGAGGACATCCTGCGGGCAGCGCTGAAGTTCAACAGCAGGAAGCCAGGGAGCCACCCGGCCTCAGCCTCCGACGATTCCAACGGGCTGGAATGGGAGAACGACTTCGTCAGCGCCGCCGTGGACGACAACGGCAACTCCGAGTACGCCGGCTTCGTCAATCCCGTGCTGGAGCTGTCGGCCTCGGACGTCAGGCTGTCAGATTCCGAGCACCAGGACAGATAGTGACCATCCCAGCACGGCCCCTGCCCGTGACCAAATGCTGGAAAGGGAAGTGGAATCAGCCACAAAGCCACTTGGCTCTTTTGTAACCTGCTTCCCTTTTTCTTACGTGCGGATCGGCGAGCGACGGGAACGACTCGCTGTCCGGATGGATTCAGAACTAAGTGCAATTTTATCATCTACCTTCTTCTCCACTTTTGTGAAAACTGGGATGATTCTATTGTGTATATTTCTGGGTATCTGGATTTAATATAAAACTATCTGCACTAATTGGAGCTTCATAGCTTTGACTTATCTATATTTTAACTCGCCTTTTTTTTCCTGGATGATGATTCTATTGATTTTGCTTTAAAATTCATCATTGGCCTAATATTTATCTCAGAAACAGTCCTGTATAATTTATTTAATACTTGAAGATAGAGAAATAATTTTAAAATATTTTTATTTCCGGTCTGTGCTTTTTGACTTGCTCTTCAGCTGTTTAGAGGGTGCAAAAGTAAGAGCTGCAAAACAAATCTGACACATAGCAGATTTTCAGATTTTCCCCTGTCTGTCTAGCTTAAAGCCTTCCTAGTCTTATGTTGTCCTTTTTCCATTTATTTTAATTTTTTTTATTACTGCACGCTAAGCACGGTTAAGCTCAATGAACATAGTAAAACTCATCAGGTTAGGTGAGGTACCGCCTTGTATAATAACATGCCAGACTTAGTAAGCGTGTGCTAGATAGAAAAGCAAAAATAAAATAAAAATTCTCTACATGTGTCACTAAAATGGGAATTTTAACCAGTGGAGAACTGGGAGGACCAAAGTCTTGTTTTCCCAGCCCCCCTGAACAGACCAACCTCTGTTGCTACGTGGTCCTTAAAATTCCTCAGTTGTGGAAAATTTATAATTCCACTGGACCAGAACAGTTATGGAAAAGCAACATCCAGTGAACAAAGTGGGGGAGGGATGATGGCTCTGCTGCTGGGGGTGGGAAGAACAAGAACCTAAAGACTGAATTTCTACTTCTGCATTTTGAAAAGAAAGAAGAAAAATTCATGTTTTAACAGTGTGTTGAAGTGCTCTGCCTTTCCTGTGCCTCTCAAGTGGATGGTTAATCCTTCTAATAGGGACTGAAATCCAAGGAGGTATTCATATTCAGTGACTGCACCACTGCTGTCCTGTGCTGTGTGGTCTCCCCGGTATTCCATGTCAATCTTACTTTTTAACAAAAGAGAACCTGCAAAGTACTTGCAGATCTCAAGCTTTCCCCAAAGTTTCAAAGTAAAGCCATTCTGCTCTGCCATTATTTTGTGCAGCTGTCTCATTTTTCCAGGGGAAAAAGGGTGACAGGGTTTAACTTTGTTTTGGAGTAAAAGGGAACACGTGGTAAGTAATGAACCTGCTCTGTCAATCATCAGACCTGAATGTGTCGGTGAAAGTTGTGTGAAAAATGTGGTTTAGCTCATCTGAAGCTATTTGGAATATTTGGGTCATTACAGTGTGGATAAGGAACGAAAATACTGCACACTGGGGTTAAATGTGTACAAATAACCTAGAGAACAGATGAATCCTGTTGGTAACATTCCATCTCTTCAGTTGTACCTGTGTCACTGAAAATATTTTACTGCCATTATTTATATTTGCAATACTTGTAATGAGCTTTAAAGATCTGTAAACATCAAATGTATATTTTGGGTTTGGCCTAAGCTACTGCTGTGTGACTTCTGGGTATTTCTTTGTATAATATATTCATATGGGAAGGAAGGCAACTTCCTCAACATGTAAATAACATGTTTTTTTTTACCTGCTGAAACTGTCACCTCCCCTGTCCCGGTCACTGCTTCTCCTGGCCAGGGAACATGAGGTGACCTTGTCCTGACCATGCCTTGAGGAAGTCAATCAGCTGACAGTCCTGCCCTTAGAACAGACAAGCACTTAGGAAAAAGGAGGCTGACTCCAGCTTTTTCTGTGATGGGCATGTTCTGTAGCCATGGTTAATGAGAACATTTGCAGTACTCAGTGCACCACGCTGGGTGACTTTTGAAGTGATTCTCTATCTCTGTGGGTATTTGAGAAACGGAGGGATTCTATAAGTAGCTCACGTGAAGCAGTTCAAGGGTACTGTAAAATGCCGATCTGGACAAATTTAAAAGTCATTAAAATTTTCAGCAAGTCTTACATTTGACAGTGTGGTATCTGTTTCTGGGTTTGTGGCAGCCATGTCAGAGCCCTGCTGAATTCCAGTGTTCCTTTTGAGGGCCTGTTGCAGAAGACCTGAGGAATTTGGAGCATGGAGCCCTTCTCCTGTTGGATATGAGCAGCTGGAGCCACACCCTTTAAAGGCAAAATAACCTTCCTTGTGTAAATTATCTTTTGCTGGTCAGATCAATGTAGTCATAGGGGACAACTCATTTTTTTAATGTGTGTTTTACACAGTTGATTCTTACCTCAAGTAAATACAGCTGAGCAAGTGATTGTTGTTTGGAAACCAGAGCCTGGTTCCAGGCTTGGAAAACATGGCAACAAAGTAATTTTGTCACAGTGGAGATGAACGAGACAAATCCTACATTAACCTGTGTTTGAGTTTCATAGCCTCTCCCATGGCTTTCTCACACTTGTGGTTGGTTGCCTTACTATCAGCTGTTCCTCCCCTCAGTTATAATTATGGTTTTCTTGGAATGATTAATGCTGAAATACATCCTAATATTTAGGGATGATAAAATGGGTAACTCCTGCCCCAGTGTGTCTTTCAAGCAAACTAAAATATTTGACACAATAAAAAAGCCAAATGCCAATGAAAAGCTGAGCCCCTGACAAAGAAAAACTTAACTGCAACAACCTGAAAAATGCTTAAAAGACAAGAAAATCATTAAGAGAGGTTTGGGTAGAGGAGTAGAGGTAGAAAACTTCCTGAAAGTATTTAAGTAAATTCTTACCTTGGAGTGATGGCATTTTTGGAAAGCCTGGAATAGTGCCAGTGACAGTCTCTTATCTGGATGGTCCTGGAAATAATTTTATTCTCCAAAAATTCGTCTAGATTGCAGCTATATAATGGAGCAAATCCTTAATACAGAACAAAATATATTTATTGCAAAACTAATGTGGATTTTTATAAACCATGATCATTGATGCTATGTGTTTGTCTACATCACAAGCAAAAGTAGTTAACTTGCAAAAAAAAAAAAGTTAATTAAATAAGTAGAAATAAAAAAGAAACTTAGCTTTGAAGCTAATAAAAACATAAATTCAAAAGGACAAAGCGTTTCTAAGTTGCGAAATCTGTGAAGTCACAATCTAGGCTCGCAAAAAACACTGTTTGGAATTTGGTGTGCAAAGCAGAGCACGAAGTACAATATGCAACAAGACATTGTGTCACCCCTTGGCTGGGACCAAAAACCCTGTTGTGCATGCTCTGTATTAATGACTGTTCAATGTCCCTTCAAGGCACGCGGCCACAGTTCGAACCTGCTGCCATGGATCTGAGTGACCTCCCACCTCCCACACCTTTCTGGGCATCAGAGAGCCCTCAGTGAAGGCAGTGGCAGGAATCCATTTCTGTGGAGCAGTGCTGTGGAATGTCTGTGCTGAAAACACCAAGTAAACTGATGTGCAGCAGTCAGCAAGCACCGCCAAGAACACTGGGCTGAGGTGAGAGCCGTGTATGTTGGAGACTACAAAACCTGATCCAGCCTCCTTCCCCCCGCTAGTACAGCTCGTTTTCATCAATCTCTGTGGGGCTTTTGCCTTGGGAAAGAGAAAAGGAAGGAGAAATGCCATTCTCGGGTATAGGCTGCAGGGATGGCAGGCACCTTTCTTGTAAGATGGGTGCTTCAGCCAAGTGTAAGTGAATCTCAAAATAATCCACGGCCTCCCCTTCTTGAATCTCTGCCAGGATCTGGTAGTCCCCAAAACAGATGATGCACTTCAGGGGCAGCTCGATTTTGTTCAAGTAACCCAGTTCCGTTTGGTTGACGGTCAGTTTGGTTTTCTTGCTCAAGTTCTTGACCTCAAAGCCGTACTCCGAGGTGTGGAGCTTCCTGTAGAACTGCAGGGAGAACTGGATGCGGGAGACGCGCGTGTCCATCAGGCTGTAGCGGCAGAGGCTGGAATCGCGGCCGAACTTGGCCGTGTCGTCCGCCCGGACCTGCTGGCGCCTGCAGAAATCCAGGCAGCGGAACATCATCTTCTCGCCCTGGCCGGGGTGGTAGAAGGTCAGGTGGAGGCACGTCACTGTCTCCTCTGTTTCGGCCTCCTCGAAGGAGCTCATGATGAGAGGAGCCCTCAGAACCAGGAGAGGGCAAAATCACGGCGTGGAACGGCTGTGGAACCCAACAAATTGGTTTGAGCGTGGCACTGAAATATTTCCTGTGCTGCTCTACACTGGACAGAACCTGCAGATACCTGACGACAAACATGATGAAAGCACAGGAGTGGGAGCTCAGCAGGCACGACTGACCACTGCTGCCAGCAAGCTCTTCGTGAGGGTCTCACAGGCAGATTTATCTTTGCAAGAAATATGTTATTTAGCAGTAAGATTTGCCTGACAGACTTAAAATGGAGTTAGGCACTAGTGGCTGGGCCTGTGCGCCCTGTTCTCGGTGTGTCCTGTGGCTGGAAGGTATCAAGGGACTTTTACCAACAGTCTGTGTGTAGGCAGTGATAATTCAATATGTTTATAAAGCATTCCTTGGGCTCACTGAACTGACCTGTTGCACAGAAAGTGTTTAGAAGTGACTGCATAAAAAGTGAATGCAAAAGTTGGACTGTCCACAAGACCTAAAAGAGGAATTGTCACCACCTCTAGCTATTTCCCCATTGTCTGTTGGAAAACCCCAGCTCTCTGCTGCTGAAGAAGTGCTAAAAAAATTTACTTTTCTTTTGTTTGATAGTTTTGTGCTGTTTTTTAAAGTTCTTCACATGCAGCACAGAGACCACATACTTATGAAACAAATTCTGTTCCAAGGCCTGAGCGACTGCAGTGCACCCTAATAAAACCAGCTCAGGAAAGGCTGCCATCTGGTTCTCTAAATGCAAGGCCAGCATCTTCCCGCACTAAAACTGAGCCTTGAAAAGAAAAGTCTTGCTGTCTGAAAGTAGAAACCAGCAAATGAGCTCCCAGTTACTCACCAGAGGAACATGTGTGCAGCCATTTCTCCGGTATCACACAGAGCAGATGTTTCTACATCCAGATTGCTGTAAGATCCCAGTGTGTCTCACACAGATCTGGAGCTCACCAGCTCCATTCAGAGCTTTATGACTGGCTGAATCATCACTGCAATGAAGTGATGATTGTGTTTTGTGATGATGGAGTTGACTTGTGGTTTTTACACGCTGTACACAAACACCAAGCATAGTGCATGCTGGTGTATCAGTGCATGATTTTCTGTATGAAACCTCAAAACTGGTTCCTCTGCACCTTAAACACAAAATCAGCCACAGTTCTGACACAATAGCTCAGCAACCTCATCTTAGCTACTGAAGCAGGTTGCAACAGCACAGATGATGAGTGAAAACACAGAATTTTCAGCAGAGCTCCCTTTAAAACAAGCTAGGAAATATCGTCTGTGCTTTTGGCAGGAATACAGACAGATGCCCTGGTAGCAGGTTACTCCTTTGCCATCTGTGAGCCAAGCTGTGGTGGCACCATTATCAGTCCCTCCTCCTTGTGGATTCCCAGGTCTCTCTGGGATGCTGGAAGCACCTCGGTGGGCCAGGAGGGACCGGCCCCGTGTCTAGCTCTGCCCTTCCTTGTTTTGCACCGGTAAGGGGATATTCCATGAGGTCAGGGGATATTACACGAGGTCATCTTTGGGTGAAGGGGGGAAACCACTGAGCGCTTTCATTATGTTTGCAGTTCAGCCCGCAGAGGCACTTCTGTGCCTTGCCACTGTAGTTCACCTTACCGAGTTTTACAGACGGCTGCATTAATTTAAAAAAGAACAGCCACCCATTGCTTCGGCAGCACCCACTGATGAACCTGGATGTCGGCAGCTCCCAGAGGATCTCCCGGCTCCACATCCACATCCACAATCACCTCAGGCATCCCCTCACGGCTGCCCAGTGCTGCCCCAAAGGCTCACCGAGGTGGAGGAGCACACTGAACATTCCCGCACGTAAATGCTGAAGGAGTTTCTACTTACCAGAGAGCATCGGCCAGGAGGAAGAAACTTTCTGTGGATCTCCCTCGCAGCTCTGTCGGCCGTACCTCCACCGGAGCCAAACCCACCTCACCATCCTCTCCTAGGGGACAGCGAGTGCCACTACCCCCACTTCCAGAGGCAGCAGAACAACGGGAATACGGGCTCCGGCTCCCGGAGCAGGCTCGGCGCCACCTCCCCACCCCACAGCCCGGGATGCCCCGGACCGAACCCACGGGAAGTGCTTGGCGACATGCCGGCTGCCCGCCGATCTATCCCGCCCCCTTCCTTCCCTCACGGCGGCCCAGCCCGGCTCTCACCTGCCGGGGCTGCGGCGCTCCTCGCTCCCGGGAATCCCGCGGGAGCCGCGGGAAGCGTGAGGCGGGAGGAGCCGGAGCGGGCGGGCCAGGGGCGGGAAGCTGCGGGGCCGGAAGTGGAACGTCTTTAAAAATAAAGGAGAAAAAAAAATATTTTTTTTTAAAGAGTTAAATTATTTATTACAGCGAATCGCACTATAGCCGCGGGTCTGTCCGGGGTTTCGGGGCCATCTGAGCATGTGCTCAGAGCCCTGTCAGGGATCACAAGTTCGCGGGCTGGGCTGTCAGGCAAAATAATTCCGGTTTTTCCCCCCAAATGAACGCTTCCAGGAGTAAAACGCTTTGGTAAGCGGCACGCTATATGAGCATACAGCAGTTGACCTGATTATATTATTAAATTGATTATTTTTAAATATTTGGTTGCTTGCTTTAAGCAACCGCAGTTAGGTTCATTGCGCCGCCTTTGGCAAATAGCCTAATCTTCCCCTGGCCGATGGTCCAAAGGGATCTGAAAACTTTTCCTTACTTCTCTTTTTATCTCCCTTTACAAATCCTGAGACAGCCGTGGATTCTTCTTTATCCAGCGGCTTGGTTTTTCGTATTCACCTGTGTCACTCCCCAGCACAGGGCCAGTGGCGAAGCAAACCTGTTCCTTTTCCATCCAGATCCCGAATGTTCCGTGTCCTCCCTTCCCTGTGCCTGCACAGCGAGTAAGTACTGAGGGTTTGCTTGCTCTGGCACGGGCTGTCAAATTCTGCCTCTGTTCATACAAACTGCTTTTCACTTTTTATCTCTTCAGCAAACAGGTACATGACTTGTGGGTTGATAAGTTCCCTTGTAGTTCTTGTGGAATAACTTTTATATGTATGCAGCCTACTACGGCTGTTCCATGGGCTCTTCTCCCTGACATCAGGGGAAAAAAAAAAGGGATTAAACTGTGTTTTGCAAGAAGTTGTGCTGAAGAGCAGAGAAGGAAAAAATTATTCCAACTTTCTGCCACACGTGAAGGGTTTTTTTACAGCAGGCAGGGCTGGGCCTGTGTGCTCACACAAGAAAAATGAAATACTTTGCTGCCTTCTGGAAAGGCCAGAATTGCGCAACCCTGCTGTTTATTGCATCTGTCGATAGTTATAATTCCTGTCAGTCCTTTGTTTCCGGAAAGAGCCAAGTCCCAGGTCATCAGACAACTTTTCTGATAGGATTATTTTGATACTTGTATCTATTGAGGTATGTAAGGACCTTTCCTTTTTTTTTCCCCGTAGGGTTGTGTAACGTCAAATTAGTCGCATGTTCCTTTATTGTTTTATGATTTAAGTATAGCTCTGTGTGATTTTGTACAGGGGAGGGCAGAAACTGGATTTACAGCTTCTCTCTTCAGTAAGTTTCTAGTCAGTTGAAACGCTGCCAGCTTCAGTAAAGCAGCTCCAGGTTTGCCCTTTATAAGAAAAAAAAAATGCAGGCACTCTGTGCCTGTGGGGTTTTTGGGTAATATTCCTGCTAGAATTGTTCTGTGCTGTAGTAGAGGTCATTCCAGTATTACAATAACTTCTTCTTTTAGTTGAAATTTCTTCGGTTGAAAGCGAAACTGTGGATAAATGTGGTTTTTGGGGTAATTTAGTGTTTTTCAGCCTGGAAGACCGAGGTGGTTTAGATGTGGCTGTGACGGAGTGTTGTTCTTCTCACAACTGATTCCTGTAACTCCAGAGCCTACATAGGGAAATCTGGGAAATGGGAAAATACCAGCAACTTTTATGTTGCTGTCAGTCCTAACTGGTTTAGGAAATGGGAGTCAGTGAGGGGAAATGTGTTTCTTTCTCTTTCTGGGATGTTTCATGGTGGGTCAGAAGAGTTATAGGAAGTATAGTCTCTTGATCGTCTGTGGGAGTGGTTATGAGTTGGGAATGCTCTGGTGACATTTCTTGGACAATTGGGAAAAATGTCCTTTTGTAGTTCTGTCTCTGTTAGGGCATAAAAGCCTTTCTGTGGGCATTTGAGACCAGCATCAGTCCAGACAAGTCTGAAACTTTCTCCTTGTCTCTGCTGTTTAAGTTGACATGATCGAAGTATCCTCACCCTGCTGAATCATCAGGAAATCTGGCCTGATTTCTGCTGTGCTGCCATTTCCACAGTTCTGTCCCTCTCTCTTAAGGTTAGATTTTGAACCTGGCTAGCAAAACTGTCGATGCGGTGCTGGGATTTGCCAGTGACTTCAGGTGTAAAGGCTGCCAACAGCTGTGAATGTTGCGTGTGAGTATAATTCCCGTGGTTTTTTTGGTCGCCGGCGTTCCCACTCACTGGCACAGCTTGTCCCCGGTGTCACCAGGCAAACGCTGAGGCAGATGCTGTGACCTGCTGGCACCTCTTGTGCCAAGCATCGCCGTGGGTTCGGGTGCACTGAGGGTTAGTTTTGGGGCAGAAAAGTGCAGAAGTGGTGCTTTACCAGCTCTGGGCACAGGAGGACACCAGCCACATCACACGGGGGACGGCTGTGATGTGGTGAGCTCAGAAAGCCTGAGGGGGATGCAGTGGGTGGGCACTTGTCCCCCCCAGCCCTCTCCATACCCCAGGAGTGTCTCCCCAGGCACATGAGTCCTGTTTGCTGGCTTTCCCTGGCCTTAAATCCCTCACTCGTGTCTTGGCACCTGTCACATGGGCTGTACCTGCCCTGGCATGGGATGATGGCACAGGGGTGACCCAAAACTGTCCTTCAGGTACCTGCCGGGTCACTGAGGAGGAGCCGAGTGAGAGCTGAGTGATTTAGAGCCATAAACCCCAGGCTGCTCACAGCCCTTTGCTCATTCCAAACCACCCAAGCACTCCGAGCACAGGAGTGGGAGCCAGTAGATGG